ATATATATATATATATATATATATATGCGCAATATATTTCGGATAATATTTTTGAATATATTTAAATATATCGAAAAATTAATAGATATACTCTCAAATTTATTACATTTTTGAAAGCGCATTAAAAAGCTAAAGTATGCCAAAAAAATAAAATCGTATTAATTTAAATAGATTATTCGGCATAATAATTAGTTAATAAAGAAATATACGCAGCCATAAATATCAAAGAGTAATTAGACCCGTATTCATCCATATGCATGATTTCATCGCCGTCATATTGTGCAACTTTGTATTATCCATCCCGTTCCCGTTAGACCGCAGAAAAGTTGAAATGTTTTACATCGAAATGGACTACCAGTGCATAACTTTGGCGCGTCTCGTATCTGATTGAAAATTTCAAAGTTGCGAAATTAGCGCTATGAGTTTGTTCATTAACTGTCACAATTTGCAGCGGCAGTTGGCAAAGTTACCAATGTCCATTGAAAATGGACTGCCACGTAAGAACCCATTGAGCCTTACCCACCATCATACGTTCGACATTAACAACGGTATTAGAAACGGTAGAAAATAATCCGATCTCGTTTCGATTCAGTTTCAATCTCCGCTTGAAAGCGTAATTAATTATAGATTAATATTCGTAATTGATTCAATCAGACTTGCATTCCAACAATCCCAATTCGACAAATTATTGTTTCAAGAATTAATCGTTTACCCCGGATCGGGGATTTTTAATTTTGTTTATCGCATTTATATCGCCATCGAATTGAAGTGGACGGACTTTTGTTAAATATCGGCCAGAGAGTAATGAAACGTCGAAATAATTTTTAAACTATCGGCCGTTTTTCTTTAAAAGCACAAAGCGGAAAAGTTCGTTCTGCACTTCCACCTGATCTTCCCGAGAGAAATCGCCCCATCTTCCATTTCTTCCATCGCGCTATAAATCTCTCTCGTTACCTCCCCGCGAAAATGATGAAAAATTACCCTCATTCTTATTCACGAGCGCCACTTTGCAGACTAATGATTCCATAACTGGTTAGGCGGATCAGAAACGTGAAATAAACTTGTGTACCAGCGGACGTAATAAAATGTAAATTCGTACAACTATATAGTATAATATAGTGGCAATCAGTATTCGAAACATGTTATTTATCGCGCTGCTTACGAACTTGGTATCTTCCTTTCATCATATTTGTTTTATTTATTCTCATTTCAAATGTATATATACATGTATTCTTTTATCAATCAAGTAAAATACATTAATAAAATATAAAGCTATAACACGTTTTACAAAGAATATATTAATGTTGAAAGAACATAATAAAATATCCTGCAGTAACTATAAAAAATATTTAAAAATGGACCGTTCTGTTTTTTTTATACATACAAGGATTATTTTCATTAGCGAGAACAATATCAAATTTAAAAGAAAAAAGGAGATTTTATTTGGCTTTAGAGATTTATAGTAAAGGCGAGATCAGATTTTGAAATTTTAATCGAGATTGCAAAGCGAATCCCTACAATCCGCCATCGGCTCAAGATGTTTAAAATTGAAAATATAGAACGACTATCACGTATGAATTAAAATGAACAAAGTTAAGTGAAAAGATATCCTAAACCGTATTACACTCTCGTGTAAGTTTCTGTAAGCTAAATTTTACTTTTTAAATGACAATATTGATTGTTTTAAATGATATTAATTGTAATTTAAATTGGATTTCTTCTAATATATCACAATTCCTTTATTATTTCAGATTCTATTGGGACCTCTGCATGCTCCTCCTACTGGTAGCTAATCTGATAATTCTGCCAGTCGCCATTAGTTTTTTCAATGACGACCTAAGCACTAGGTGGATAGCCTTCAACTGCCTTTCCGACACGATATTCCTTATAGACATCGTCGTCAACTTCAGGACGGGTGAGTCACTCGATTGATGAATTTGCTGTGAAAATCTCGCTATTTATTTCCACATTATAATAAATAATAAATTCCGACCATAATCCATTTAATTGGGATCCGTGATAAAAGGCATTAAACTCACAAACGTGTGCCAGTGAGAAATTCTATCTCTAATCTCTCATACCAACAGGATTTGCGCGCAAGAACAGCTGCGTTGTCGTAACAACGGCTCCGTATCTCTAATGATATTAGTAACGTCTTTTGAAACTTTCATGTAATACCATTAGATGCTACTTATATCATACTGTTATCTCGAACATGCAAAATTGTACCTGACGTTGCATTTCGCGTTATTCCCTCGTAATAATTGATGTAACTTCGTGTACACACTGTCGACAAATCACGGTGTCAATGACACAATGTAATTTCTTTCTTCTTAACCTTAAAAGGAAACTGATCTCACTGATCTCAAAAATAAGATCAGTAGAAATTTCCTTAAAAATTTTTTCGTTTCTTATTCTTAAAATTTCAAAAGGAGTTTGTCGCTTTGGAATTTTTTTTTTCACGCGACTCGTTCTTGCCACGTCCTCGGATATGAGATATCCGGCGAACCTCTGATGAAAACAGAACGCAATGCGAGATGGATCATCTACTTGCGCCTTTGCCCGACAATGCACAATGACAGTATTCTTGCGCGGAGGAGGACACTCCTAACTCCTTGACATCTCGTTATTACCCGAGAATTAATTTGAAATGTGTTTGAGTCGGTTACGTAAATGCGGATTTGGGTCACGAACAATGACCGGTGAAAATGAAATTGTACGTGATTATATCGCACGTCGCTTCGCATCGATTCGCGATGATTAAAAATTTCTGAGTCACATTAAATCCCGTTCAAATATTGGCAGAATAGTGATATCCGTAATAGTTATACTTTTATTATATTTTTTTTTTTTTTACTCGTCGCAAACGGACTCGGCGCGATCGCTTGTCGTCTCTTCAATTCCAGTGTTGTTGTAAATTATATACATATTATATACACATAATAGGCGGAGATGCATCGAGAATGGCGACGTGACAAACTGATCGAATCGATGGCAAGTCGCCAGAGCGTGAGGTAACAGCATTAACGTTTTTTTCCGGCAGCTTGAGCTTCGCGGGCTTTGGAAAAGCCGGTGATGCGAAAAAAAACACTGAAGTAGAATTCTTTCGTTGCAGGTATCATGCAGCAGGATAATGCCGAACAGGTGATACTGGATCCGAAATTAATCGCGAAACACTACCTCAGGACTTGGTTCTTTCTCGACCTCATCTCCTCCATACCACTAGACTACATTTTCCTCATATTTAATCAAGTAAGTACGTCCTGCAACGTATAGCTCTTTAAAGCAACCTTACGCGCGTTTCTTGTTACATTATAAGTTATTATCTCGCTGTATATTTTGAAGGAAATCGTTAGTAACTCCCGGTTAAAATAACTTCCAATTAACGGATAATTAGAATATCACTTTTATATTTATGCTTTTCCGCTTACGTTTTTTTCGCGGGATAAATTACTGTTTAAATAAATAATTTAATGAATTATTATCTTTTTCTAATAAAGTAAAAAAAAACTTTGATTTCTTTTTATATAATTTCTTAGCAAATGCTAATTACAAAATTGATAAAACTAATAATTGATATTTGAAATTTATAAATACAATTTAATATAAGTAAAATTAATTAATTAATTAAGAAAATTAATTAAAAAGCAAGAGGTTACGCGTAAAATAAAAATATATTTATATATTAGTATATCGTATAAATATGATTGATAAATCATAAATTTTCTATAATTTTCTACAATTTTCTAAATAATTATGAACATTGCATTTCGTTTATCAGGAGGAAGGAACTTCGATATTGTAATAACAAAGAAATTCGCAAGTTTCAGGACTTCAGCGAGTCCTTCCAGATCCTGCATGCTGGACGTGCTCTCAGGATTCTCAGGCTTGCAAAACTATTGTCACTCGTTAGGTTACTACGTTTGTCAAGACTGGTGCGGTATGTCTCGCAATGGGAAGAGGTCTATGTGAGTGTTCCGCTACTTACTATACAGCACTGCTCCTTGTAATCATATGATACATCGTAGATCGTGTATAATTTTGCGTATAAAAAAGAAAAGAAAAAACAAAGAAAAAAAAGAGAAGCCTTTGGTGACCTTTAACGATTCAGGAAGCTGACGAACGATCTTCCTCCTACGAAACTACTGCTTTTCCCGTAGACAATGAGGCTTAATGAGAGCTAATTAATGTCGATTGTCAGTTTTTTGGATCTGTCAATTGCAGAAAAATCGCCTTCCGCATTTAGGCGGGATATTAAATAATTATGTCTATGCCTGATGTATGGTCGCTAGAGAAATCGGAGGAGGTAAAGGGAACAATGTCAGCTCACTTTTGTACCCTTACCATGGATATTCCGTATCTAGCCGCAGATAACTCGCTGAAGTTACCAGCGAAGTTCTCACGTCAGTGGTGGCCCGACGGCCAATCTTTTTTTCTGAATTTGACATTTCATTAAACTACCATTCTGCTACGTGCAAGGTATTTCTCTTATCATCCGTAAGAAATTTCATCAACAAAGTTCATCGATTGAATATACATGTGCAAATGTTTTTCTAGGTTATACGCAGCGAAAGTAGGATATACTTGTTGACAAAATTAATTTTTCATCATTGTCGCAAAAGTCTCAGTCCACCACTGCGGGGAATCTTTTCGAATTGAGCTCTCAGATGATTAGATTGTTTCGCTTTCCGTTGCTGAACATCTAATAAGTGTCCCCCCAGCCCCATCCCCACCCCCACCCCCCCGATTCTACTCAATATATATTCCGTGATACCTCCTGTGATACTTTCACTCTACAAGAAACTCTCTAATTCCTCCGTTTATCTTTCTCTCTCGCGACAATGATAAATCAGATAGATCAGAATCAGATAAATTAGAATCAGCTGTTCTCCCTTGCTCGATCATCTCACCACCGCCGAGAGGGGCATAAATAGATAATAGCTACGATGAACAAATAATAATATCTGTGACAAACAATTCGCGGACACAAGCGGAGAGGTAGCGTGACGAAAAAGCAAATAGAGGAAAGAGGAATACACGTGCACGCGATTGCGTGTCTCGCAGAATCATCGCTAATACACCGTGAAACTCGAGAATACAAAGAGAATCCCGTGACACAGTATATCGACAACATTTTTATTATATTTTTCATTTGCCGTTTCCGATGCACCGATAACTGTTGTTGTTCGCTATTCGTATTCTTTACTTCGTATTCGTTACTTTTTTTGCTCTCGTTTTAACGCACATCGTCGATTTTGTGCACGTGATGTAATAATAATGGTACAACGGTTCGTCGATGGGTAAGTAACCCTGCCCTTCCACGCAAGTCTACATACCACTTGATAATCGAGGCGACGCGTGTGAGCATATTGCCCGTCCTTTCGACCGATCGGAGAGTCATTTCGAAAGACAAAAGAAAGAACAGAATGAGCATGAAAAGGTAAAAAGAAATATAAAGATTTAACTGACTGGCTTTTATGTCCCTCACAAATTCGCGTCTCTCTCTCTCTC